AAAGAATCAAGAGCAAACAACCAAGAGCATCCATCCCTCCCAGGACGGGGGGTCTCACTTCTGTTGTCAGCTACAGGGAAGAGGGGCGGCTGGCTCAGCCCCAGCTCCACCTTCTCCTGAGCAGTGTCTGGCCCTTCCATGACTCCTTCATGGAAGGAGAGTGAGGGGAAGCTGCTGCATGGACTGGAATCAGCCCAGTGGTCCTTCTGCCTAACCACATTGAAAACAGGACCAGAGATTTGTGTATGTATGTATGTATTTTTAGAGACTGAGTCTCACTCTGTTGCTTAGGCTGGAGTGAATGCAGTGGCACGATCATAGCTCACTGCAGCCTTGACCTCCTGGGCTCAAGTGATCCTCCTGCCTTAGCCTCCCAAATAGCTAGGACTAACACGTTTGGCTAAAACCAGAGTTTTACATATATAGAATCCTTGAGCCACAACCAGGAGTGGATGTTAGGCTTCTGTGGCAGGTAGCCTACTGTGTAGGCTTCTATGTAGGAGGTTCGCTTCTGTGTAATATGAGAGCTCACGGTTAGAACCTTCTAAATGTGGGACAGTTACCTTAGGAGGTAATGAACTCTCTGTCTCTGGGGGAGTTCAAGCAGAGGCTGGAAAATTCCTTGGTGGGGTTCATTCATCCACTCATTCATCTTCTATCTACTCATCCATCCAATATTTTTTATTTATCAAATTTATGCCAGGTGCTGGACTAGTTGATTCAATCATGAGTAAGATAGAAATGGCTTGTGGCTTCACAGTGCTATCATGAGGAAACGCTGGGGACTACAGAAGAAGGGTGGAGGACGGCATGATCTAGACCTGGCAGTCAGGGAAGGCTTCCTGGAGTAAGTGATCTTTGAAGCTGAAGGCTGAAGGTTGAGGAGGACTTAGCTACAAGGAGTCAATAGAGTGTGAGCCAGTCAATGACACAGTCAGATGTGTGTCTTAGCTGGTTTCCTCAGAGGCAGACCCTGAGGCACAGATCCACAAGTATATAGTTTCCACTGGGGGGGTGACTCCAGAAAATACCAGTGAGGGGGTACGGTAGTGAGACAGGAAAGGGAGGCAGCCAAGAAGGTGTATGTGGTCAAGCAAGTCACTTCTGTGTGCAAATGGAGCTTCCACCTGCTGTAGAACTCTGAGAGCCAGGGTGGCATATGTCCTACAGTTATTCCCTGGACGGAGTGAGCTGGAGCACTTATACACCAACTTTCCTCAGCCACTGGTTGCGGGTTTTTCTGGACTGAGCGGGACATGGACACTATTATCAAATACTTCTGGCCTCTTGATGGGGCAGGCAGGGTGGGCCCCAGCACAGGCCTTAGATAGAGGTGCAGGGGCTGGTGGTTGTGGTGGGATCCGAGCGGATCTGTGCAGGGTGCTGGCATCACTGTGGCTGCAGGGTGAGTGAGGGGCATGCACGAGCCCTGAGATCAGCGAGGAGGCCAAAAGCGGAGAGGGCCAAGCAAGTGATGCTGGGCGCCTGGACTGGAGAGGCTGTGGTTATGAGGAAGCGGCAGATGTCAGGATGTGGAGTGGTATGGAGGAATGGAGATGCTGGTAAGCAAGAGGAACCACAGCCTCCCAAGGCTGCAGCAGCCCCCTCACCACAAGGAAATCCCTCGCTCCCTCACCCCTACACCACCTCCCCTCCAGCAGGCACCTCCTCTGTCTAAACACATCAGAGATGCCAGGCTCACTGTGCCGGCTTGTCAGGACCACAAAGTGTGTATGGAGGGAGATGATGGTGCTGCAGCAACTGCTTAAAAAACAAAAGCTGGGGCTGGATGCGGTGGCTCACGCCTGTAATCCCAGCACTTTGGGAGGCCAAGGTGGGAGGATCACTTGAGGCCAGGAGTTTGAGACCAACCTGGGCAACATGGAGAGATCCTGACTCTGCAAAACATTAAAAAATTAGTCAGGCATGGTGCATGCCAGCTACCCAGGAGGCTGAGGTGGGAGAATCACTTGAGCCCAGGAGTCAAGGCTGCACTGAGCTATGACCGTGCCACTGTACTCCAGCCTGGGCGATAGAGCAAGACCTCGTCTCTAAAAACACAAAAAACAAAAAACAAAAAACCTGGGTTGTTGTCAATGCCAGCCCCAAGTCTTGGAAGAGACCCCTTGGACTGTGTGTGCATATGAAAATGAATGTCATCCTGACTACCTGTGGCTTCCAGTGTGCCCACATCTGTCTTCCTGTCAGATGCAGCCCTCAAGGGGACAGGTGCTCGGCATGACTTTCTGTCCTTGGGGGCCCCGGGACCTGGATCATAGAAGAGGCATTCAGTAACAATCTGTCAGATGATGGAGAACGTGAATGGAGCCCTGCTTCTGTGCTTCCTGCCATTGGGAGGGAGGGGATGGGGGACAATCGTGTGGTAGTTCCAAGGGCATGACCCCACTAGCATTGGGGAAGGGGATGGAGTTGTCAACCAGGGCTTTTAACTGCAGGCAAAAGAAGCCAAGTCTGGATGAGATAAGTAGAAAAAGAATGTGTTAACTGGGCATCTCACAGAGTCACCTGGATGGCTGGGCAGCCTGAGCATCCAGGAACAGTGCCCCTAAATCCTGCCTCGGACTGGCCCAGTGGGGACACTGTTGCAGAGCCCTAGCTACCTCTGGTTGTTCCTCTGACCCCATAATCCCTAGACACTCTCACCAGCAGCCCCAGGAACTCCCTCTTCCTGCAATGACAGCTCCAGATTCCATGGGGAGCAAGGTTGGCACCTGCATCCCCTGGGCGGTATCATCCCAGTGCAGGTTCCTACATTTGGACTCAAATTACAATAATTGGTGGAAGGTTTATTCAGACTTAAGCTGTAGGGAGTGGAAGAAATAGTGCAGTGTCTTAGGATGAGCAGCAGCAAAGTTTTCCAGCCCTAGGTCTGAAGGGACAAGGGGCAGGGGCAGTTACTAGAACCGGGAAAGAAAGAGACGTGCAGGCCGGGTGTGGTAGCTCACACCTGTAATCCCACCACTTTGGGAGGCTGAGATGGGAGGATTGCTTGAACTCAGGAGTTCAGCAACATGGAGAAACCCCGCCTCTACCAAAAGTACAAAAATTAGCCAGGCATGGTGGCATGCGCCGTAGTCCCAGCTACTCAGGAGGCTGAGGTGGGAGGATCACCTGAGCCTGGGAGGTCAAGGCTGCACTGAGCCATGATTATGCCAGTGCACCTCCAGCCAGGGTGACTGGTGGTGTTGTGGCAGAGGAAAAAATGGGACCAAACAAGCTGCATTCAGAAAAAAAAATAAAAATAAAAAGAGAGAGTGAGATGTGCAGAGGCCCCTGGAGAGGTGCAGTGACACGAGGGACAGAGCCAGCCCAAGCCCACCTCACTAGGGACATGGAGAGGAGCAAAGGCCCTACTATTTGTACTCCACCTCCCTAATCTGCCCACTGACAAGGCTCAGACAGGTCAGTCCCCTGGGTCGGAGCAGGGTGAGCAGGTGGGGACAAGACCTGAAGGGCAAACGGAAGGTGGCTAGCACAACGGAGACTTCCCCAAACAAACAGGGGGGCCTCAGGTGTGCCAAAGCATCCCAACGTCCAGGCGGGGTGGAAATGAAAACGTCATGCTGGGTCTTGAGTTAGGGTTGGCTCTTTCTGGCACTAACTTCTTCTGTGACTATGGTTAAATCCCTTCCTCCTGCTAGGTCTCAGTTTCCCTGTGTATGAAACCAGACGAGCTTCCAGCACCCTCCTGTAGCACCAGGAAGGCTCAAGACAGTCCTGAGAAGGGAGTAAAACAGACTGTCCTTTTGGAGAAACTGGGGCCCAGGAGGCAGAGAGACTTGTGGGGGTCACTGCCACATAGATATTGAGCAAGACTTCCATTTCTTGTCAGGGCTGTCCCCTGAGCCAGGCCCGCCCCGGCCTTGTGACCCTGCTTTCCCCGGGGGGCACTGCCCACCCCCATGTTTGTTTCCAGTGAGTGCAGCAGCCACCGTGAAGTGTCGAGGTCTCTCTCACGCTCTCGTTTGAGTGTGTGTCTGTGAATGGGACATGTGGTAACAGTAGTTTCACCCAGGCTTTTGGTCCTTGGTCACCCCTCCTGCCCTACCTGGGGATTTAGGGTTAGTGTAATGTCACTGCTTGGCATTTGGGCCTGTGGGTCCTATACAAACTTCAAAGAACTTAGTTTATAGGGAGTTTCAAAGAGAGTCGGAAGGGCTGTGCCCGATCCTCTGGACCCTCTGACAATGACCCTGCACAGCCTGCACAGCCGTGTCCAGGAAGTCACCTGGAATCTTGCCACCCACTCCATGGGACTGTGTGCTGAGGCCTGCGTCCCAGGCACGTGAAACAAAGACCATTTCATCTTATGTTGGAACCCGAGACTCTGGGTTTTTCTGCATCCAAGGCCTAGGAGGCCCACAGAGCCCACCTTGTTAGAACCAATGTTCCTTTCCTTGAAATCGTGAGACAGGGGAGACCTTTTCAGCTTTGTGCAAAATGGTTCTGTTGAAAGTAAAACTTTCAAAACAGATAGCCCTGGATCAATTATGGCCCACATGCACGTTCTCTTTGGCTTGCACCGTGTTTGCCCACAAAGGTTTATTTTCACAAAGTGAAATTAACTGCCACAGTTAGAAGTCAAATTGTGGTTTGACTTTTAAAAAGTAGAAGACCTGGCAGTACGGGGCTCACGTTCCTGCATGAAATGTTTGGCTGGAGCAGCACTGCAGCCCCTCCCCCCGCACATAAGATGCGCACTCTTCAGTTCACCACAGTCCTCACCATGCCCTATTGTCTTCCAGCTGGGAGCTGAATGCCTGTTGCCATTTATCACCACGTTTATGCTGCTGCTTTCTTGAGTCAGAGAATTATGAGGAAGGTAAACTATTTTGGGTCCCCACGTTTCTGACAGAAGTGGGAAAGTAGTTTATATACGTTACCTGCCCGCCTGTTTTCACTGGGTTGCTAATGTAGAAGTTTATCTCTGGAGTTTGTTTGGTCCCATCTTTTCCTCTGCCGCAACACTGCCATGATGATCACCAGAACATCATATTTATTGGCCCTTTATCAAGCTATGTACATGGTGAGACAGGTCAGGACAGGCCTCCATTTGTCTCAGGGGCAAAGCATTGTGGGCAAGGAAGACAGAGCAGCTGGAGCTGATGGGACTCCAGTTAAAGCAATGAAGTGGCTTTGCCACACCACAGAGGGCTCAAGGGAAGGGTCCTAAAAGACCAGTCCTGGGCAGCCTGGTGGGAGCTTGGCCTTTCTGCCCAGCTCCTGGCTGAAGCTGTGATTTGTGTAGCTGTGACTGCAGGGCTCGAGAACGACAGAGGGCTTAGGCAGTTTGGACAGGGTGAATTGGGGTTGTCGTGTATACCCAGCCACCTCCCTGAAAAATCTGAGTCTCCCTTTTCCATCTATCTGATGGGTGTCCAATCTTTTGGCTTCTCTGGGCCACATCGAAGGAAGAATTGTGTTGGGCCACACATAAAATACACTAACACCAACCATAGCTGATGAGCTACAAAACAAAAATCTCATAATGTTTTAAGAAAGTTTGCGAATTTGTGTTGGGCCACATTCAAAGCCATCCCGGGCCACATGCGGGCCTCGGGTTGGACGAGCTTGGTCTAATGGGAATACGAAGACAGCCCTGGCTCCCACTGTGAGAACCCCTTCAGTCCAAGCACACGAGTCCTCTCCAAGCTCACTGTTCTCACCACACGGCCCCACTCCGGTTTCCTGGAGGCTCCCCCAGAAGCATCTGGGGGACGTAGTCCAGGCAGGTGCCTCCTCCCAGGTGGGGCAAGCACCTGGCGTGATAGCGGAATTTCAGGTGGCCATGTTTCAGGTTGCATCTCGCCTCATGGGAACCAGACTTGGGAGCCTGATCACAGGTGCCAAGGAGGTCATCGTTCCAGCCAGAGTCCTGATCCCAGACCTGCAACCTCAGGGGCCCCCCTGTGGCCAGGAGCACATCCCCAAAATCCAGCGGCATTGACCAGATGGGGTTGTTATTGCTCCACTGGGTGTTCGTCCTGAGCTCCTGGCCACCAAAGAACACCTTCACATAGGCATCCGTGGCAGTGAACCAGTCCCCCCACAGGCCCCACGCTTGGATGAAGGTCACCTCCAGCTGGGCCAGGCCCCTCTGTCGAGGGCAGCAGTCCTGGGTGGTGACCGCTGAGCCATGGCACACACACTGGCACGGGTCTCGGGGGCTCTTCTGCCGCCCCGGTGGGCACGGCCGGCTGCAGTCCCTCCAGCGAGCCCTGTCGGTCAGGTACTGACTCAGGGCCCTCCTCAGTGCCTCCCGCCGCGGGTCCTGGCTGTCCAGCAGCACATGCAGGGGTTCCAGGCTGTAGTCCACCAGGCCAGGGCTGCCGAGCAGCGAGTTCACCCAGGCTGAGTACTGCTCGGGCCCGGCCTGGCTCCCGAACAGCAGGTCGTTAATGGAGGTGTGATGGCCGCCAACCACTTCCGAATGGCGCTCCCGGTAGGTTTGGTGGAAGGAGGCCGTCATCTTGTGCTTCTTCTTCTTCTCCTCACAGGCTTTGGCTTCGGCAGAGGAGCTGCCGCGGGCGCCTATGTTGACCTGGGCCTCGACGTTCAGGCAGTCATCCACCTCGTCGTCCGTGAGCCCTTCCAGGGCCAGTTCACAGGTGCGCAGGGCCGTGAGGGCCGAGATGCGGCCGCCCAGCTCCACAGCCCGGATGAAGTGGGTGCCGTAGTTGGAGATGAGCCTGAGGTACGCGGGCTGGGTGGAGGCGTTGAAGTGGAGGGGCAGGTCCCCGAGGGCCCTCTTGAAGTCAGGGTGCAGCGGGGGAGTGTGTACCACATGGTAACTGTGAGAAGAGAGAGACCTCAGCTGGGCCCAGGGATAGTATTTCCCCCATTCAATAAAACAACTCCTTGAGGACTGCTCAAGGTCACACGTAAGTGGGCAGAACTAGGACTGGAACCCAGGGGCCTCCAGAGTGCAAGTGCTGTGACATGGGGCTGGCAGGGTGCCTCTGCTCTCACCCGTCAGGGACCTCAGTGCTCTGTGTAGGTGTTTTCTCTTTTCCTTTTCAAAATAACATTTTTTTTCCTTTCCTTTTAATTTTCTTATTATAAAAGCAATGATCCTGGCCGGGCACGGTGGCTCACACCTGTAACCACAGCACTTTGGGAGGCTGAGGTGGGAGGATCCCTTGAGCCCAGGGGTTTGAGACCAGCCTGGGCAATATAGTGAGACCCTATCTCTAATTATTTTTTTTAAGAAAAAGAAAAAAAGAACATAAAAGCAATGATCCTGCACTGATGGTATCCATTGGACTTTGGAATCTGGTCATGTGGCCTTCATCCATCTGTCCCTCTGGATGGGTCCCACATGCCCGGGATCCTGACAGCTTGGGCCATACTCGGCCTCTCTGTGGAGGAAACGTGGCCTCCAGGTCTGAGGAATCAGAGCAGGTGACTTGGGGCTGGCCCACAAACACTGTGCCTTTCTCAGATGTGGAATCTGGGTCCCAGAATTCCTACTCCCAGGGGCTAGGGTAGCAACTGCTGTGGCTCAGCAGTGTGGCCCTGCCACAGGCAGATGTGAGTATTGGTTGAGTGGATGATTGAAGCTCAGAGAGAAGTGAGATGTTCAAGGTTACACAGCAATGAGGAAGGATGACCCGGCCAGGTCTCCCGCCTCTGTCCCTATCCAGGAAGGACTCCATGGAAGGCTGGCTGTGCCCAGGAAAGGGAGGGTTGAGTACTCACTAGACCTAAATGGCACCCTGCTGGCTCTCAGACATGGTCTCACTCACTTTCTCTCTACTTGGTGTCTCACTGGGCACTCTCAGATGGGGGACCTCGTGGATGAGAGGAGGCCACAGGGCTGAATCACCTGAAGTCTGGGAGCCGGGACTGCGGTTTCTTCCTGGTAGAAGCAGCCTCCAAGTTTGATTGGAGGACTCTGCCTTTCCAGGGCTCCTAGACCACCCAGAGTTTCTCACACCTTTTCCAGCCCCCCACCCCCTAGCCCCAGCTCTCACCTGTAGAAGCGGCACTCCACTGTGTCAGTGCTGAAGCTGTACTGGTCCTGGTGGGTCTTCTGGGCTGCAAAGTTGGCTGCCTGTGAGTGTGAGCCGGCCACAGACACATGCACGTTGCCGGCGGGGTGGGGAGTCACATCCAGCCCCACCTTCCAGTCGTTGCGGATGCTACGAGCCGCATCCCGGGCCACAGCTTCAGTGGAGCTGACTTTGGCCCTGGTTACATGGCGCTGGCAGCCAGAGCCCTGGGCCCGCCAGTTGGTGAGTGCCAGGGGCAGGCGCTGGAGGGTGCCCTCCTGTAGGGCATTTTCACAGAGGGTGCAGGTGCCGTCGGGCCGCAGGAACCTTTGTGTGTCTACTGGGAAGGAGCCCGAGCGGCGGAGGCTGGTCACGTCCACACCCTCCCCGGCCAGCCATGCACCGGGCACAAACTTGTGGCTGCGCTTGCACTCTGAGCGTGTGGCTGTGTGGCAGGGAGCAGGGACCGGCAGGGGCAGCAGCAGGAGAAGGATGCCCAGGAGGAGCAGGCAGGCCGCCATGGAGCTGCAGAGACAGGGGGCACTGGGCTCTGGGAAGCCATGGGTGGAAGGATGGAGGATGACTGCTCCTTTCCCCCATAGCCACGGATTATCAGGGCACATGGAAGGGGAGGAGCTGAGATATCTCTTAAGTCATTATTCAATGAATGTCAGAGCTGGTATGTCCCTTATAGGCCTGGTTCAGCCCCCACATTGTACAGATGGGCCCAGAGAGGGGAAAAGCCCTGCGCAGGGTCACACAGCCAAGGGGAACCCCTTGCTAGAATTCCCCTAAGGTCTAATGGGGATCTAGGTGGATGACTCTGTCCCCAGGACACAACTGTGGGTGGTGGGGAGGGGGCTGTGGCCACAGAAGAGGGGACAGAGTAGCTGTAGCAGATTTGGGGAGGGGCCTGGGGACCTGAGGAAGCCTTCATTCTGGAGAAGTGTCATTTTTGGCCCCAGAACAAGCCACCCTTTGCCCACCCTGACTCATTCTGCTTCTCTGTCTCTGTCACTCTCTCTAACCTCTCTCCCTCCCACTGAGCCCTTAACAGAATTGGAAGAGAAATGAGGTCCTATATTGCCCCTATTCTTCCCATTTTCCCTTTGGGGCCCTTCCTCAGAGCTTTATGGAAGAACTCTAGAATAAAAGCTGCCGACCTGGCCAGGTGTGGTGGCTCACACCTATAATCCCAACACTTTGGGAGGCCGAGGCGGGCGGATCACTGGAGGTCAAAAGTTCGAGACCAGCCTGGCCAACATGTCAAAACCCCCTCTCTACTAAAAATACAAAAATTAGCTGGGCGTGGTGGCAGGTGCCTGTAATCCCAGCTACTCAGGAAGCTGAGACAGGAGAATCGCTTGAACCCGGGAGGCGGAGGTTGCAGTGAGCCAAGATCGCACCATTGCACTCCAGCCTGGGTGACAGAGTGAGACTCTGCCCAAAACAAACAAACAAACAAACAAACAAACAAACAAACAACAAAGGAAAAGCTGCCAACCTGACCACACCCTTGGATCTTGTGTGGGGAGAGGCCTTGAAGTTTGCTCTTCAGATCCCCTCCTGCTGCCCCTCCCCTCTTTGCCACTCCCTGCCAAGCTCTGCGGCCTTTAGCAGTGACAGGGGCCCCCCTGTTGCCTACTATGGGCAACGATTGTTTAGAAAGTTCTTCCTAATTTTAAGGTGTTTCTGGGGCCTCACCTGGGCCTGTTACAATCTGGAACCTCCTTTCTCTAACCTTATCCAAGGTGAGCTCTTCAAAGGTCTTTCCCCTTGGGTACCACAGGCTCTAACACAAGAGGGCTATGGAGAGCCCCCATTGTAGCTGGAGCCTCCATGCCCTGCCCAAAGGTGTGACTTGAAGGGTGGAATTCCAGGCAGCATGACTCGCCCCAGGGAGGCAAAGAGGCCAGGGGAATCTTCAAAGGCCCTGGGCTCATCCCAGCTAGGAGGCGGGCACGGTTATAACCTTAATCCAGGGAACTCAACCTTCATCCTGACTCTCATGGTATTCTGTCCCAGGGAGCCTCTTTCCATCTTTCTTAGAAGCTTTAATGTCAGCTCTTGCAGCGCCTTAGAAACTGCATGCTACCTCTTCATTTCATACAAGAGGAAACTGAGGCCCAGGGTGGGCACAGGGCTGCCCAACGAGTTAGTGATTGGCGCTGTCTGTGACCCAGGTGTCTTGTCTTTTAGGTCACGGTACTTCCTGCTCCATCAGGCTCTTCCCCTCCACCCAGAGCCCCAGGCCCCCAGGTCCCTGCTCTCTCCTTACCTGGAGTCCCGTATGGAGAAGCAGCTACACAGGCGGATGTCCTCTCTTCACCGAGGCTCCTGGAATGGTGGCGTCAGCCCCCCAGGCAGCCCACTGTGGCTCCTTGCACCAGCCACCACTCAGATCACTTCTACTTCCTGCCCCGCCCCCAGCTGTGGTCACAGGTCCTTTGTGCTCTCCCCTCCCACGAGCACCCACCCTGTCCTCAGCCCTCATCCGGCCCCCCACTGACAGCCCTCAGGAAGCGACAGCAGGGCCAGAGGCTCATCTGCCGAGCAGAGCTGCTGGGGCTTCGGGACTCAGGACACACAGGCAGAGGAGGACGGGGCGCTGAGGACTTCAAGACCCGGCCCTGGTGTTGATGATCAGGCCAGCAGGGCCATCTCCTTGCTTCTGACGCACAGCATCACATGTGCGGGATGTAAGAGGCATGCAGAGGCGGGGCTGAGAGTGTGGGCCTGCACGCCAGATTGCCGAGTCTTGGCCAGCTCGGTTATACACCAGCGGTGTGGACTGGTAGGGTTCTTCAGCCTCACTGTGCCTCAGTTTCTTCACTGAACAATTGGGATAGTAGTCATGTAGACCCTAGGGGTTGTTGTGAAGGGCTTGGAACTGTGCCTGGCCCTTCTTGAGTGTCAGTGCCTGTGACCATTCCCTCCTCCCTGAGTGGGGAAAGAGAGATGTTGCTCTAATCTTGCCATCCACTTCCTGCTCAACCTGCATCCCAGTCTAGCCCAGGCTCTGAACCCCGAGCATGTTCCTCAGACAGGGTCTCCTGCTCCTCACTTTGTGAGGACAGCCAGTGGTCTCCACGCTGGCCCCAGCCCTACTGAGGTCATGGGTGCTGGTGAGAGTGGTCTGGTAGCACCAGAGGACGTGTCTTCTGCACTCTTTGCCTTGCTTGAGGTCAGGGTGGGGTGAGGTTTCCATGGGTGGAGTGACTCACTCACAGGGCACTGGGGGACAAAATCACATGGCTTCTGGGGTGGGGGCAGCTGGGTAAGGGGGGAGGTGGTTCTCACAACTTGTTCTCATAACTGTGTATATGATGGGAAGAAGTAGCCGCAGGCTCCAGACCACATGCGACATCATGTCTCATGGGTCACACTTTGGGGCTCATCCCTTGCGTTTATGTCCCTGCTTGCGTCCCTACTCTTACAGGAACAGGGGCTTATGCTGTCTTCTCGGAATCTGGCCCCATCTTCTCTCCGCGGTGTCCCCTCCCTCTTCTAGAAATTGCAGCCTCCTGATCCCTTTCCAGCTCTCACCCATGGCCTGACTTGGATGCTAAGGCTGTGAGGAGTTTCTTTCCTGACCATGACAGGAAGGCCAGTTGGAGGGACATAGAAGTCCTACAAAGTATCTGCAAGAAAAGAGAGGCAAAGTCTAAACAGGTTCTGATCCCAGCTTCACCCGAAACTTACTGTATGCCTCACAGCGGTAGATATCAACCCCCTTTCTGAGCATTAGTTTCCTCATCTATAAAATCAAAGAGATGACTTTGGAATTCTACAAATCCTTCCAGCTAATGATAAAATGTGCATATGGCAGGTTTCAAGTGGCTTACGATGTGGCTAATGCCCAAGAGATGCTGGTGGTTGTTAGGGCAGCCATTAAAGAGCCAAAATGACATTGAGGTTGATGACTGTTTTTGGCTCGTTTAACTGATGACAGCTGTCCTCCTGTCCCTCTGAAACTTGACACTTGAATGTGCATTAAGCACAGTTTTTCCTCAGACACAAGTTTCAACAAGTGCATAATTTGTTCAATCACCAGACACCATGTATATGGTTTTCTTTAGTAACAACTTTATTGAGATGTAATTCACATACCATATAATTCACCCATTTCAAGTGTACGATTCAACGGCTTTTCGTATGTTCACAGAGTTGTACAGCCACTGCTACAGTCAATTTAGAACATCTTTATCACTCTCCATAAAGAAAACCTATACCCACTGGTGGTCATTTCTCATTTCTTTTTCTTTCTTTCCTTTTTTTTTTTTTTTTGAGATGAAGTCTTGTTTTGTCACTCAGACTGGAGTGCAGTGGCGTGATCTTGGCTTATTGCAACCTCTGCCTCCCAGGTTCAAGCGATTCTCTCACCTCAGCCTCCCCAGTAGCTGGGACTACAGGCACATGCCACCACGTCTGGCTAATTTTTTTTTTTTTTTTGTATTTTTAGTAGAGATGGGGTTTCACCATGATGGCCAGGCTGGTCTTGAACTCCTGACCTGCAAGTGATCTGCCCACTTTGGCCTCCCAAAGTGCTGGGATTATAGGTGTGAGCCACTGTGCACAGTCATTTCTCATTTCTTCATAACATTAATCTACTTTATGTCTCTGTTAATTTTCCCATTTTTGACAATTCATGTAAAAAGAATCATAGGATACGTGGCCTTTTGTGTCTAGCTTGTTTCATTTAATATAATACTTTCAAGGTTCATCCATGTTGTAGCATGTATCAGTACTTTAGTCCGTTTCTTGGCTGAATAGTATTACATTGTATGGACGTACCACAATTTGTTTACTGATTCATAATTGATGGATGTTTGGGTTGTTTCTACCTTTTGGCTGTTATCAATAATGCCGTTATGAACATTTGTGTACAGGTGTGTACATATGTTTCCATTTCTCATGGGTATATATCTAGGAGTGGAATTGCTGGGACGTGTGGTAACTCTAGGTTTAACTTTTTGAGGAACTGTTTCCCAACGTGATTGCATCATTTTGCATTTCTCCAGCAGCTTATGAGAGTTTTAATTCTTCCTTTCCAAATCAAACCAAGGTTCCACTAGTTCCTTGCCAAACCTCGATTATAGCCATCCTAGTGGGTGTGAAGTCATACCTCATTGTAGTTTTGACTTGAATCTTCCCAGTGGCTAATGAAGTTGAACATCTTTCCATATGCTTATTGGCCATTTGTACACCTTCTTTGGAGAAATGTCTATTCAAGTCCTTTACCCCTATTTTGAACTGAGTTGTCTTTTTATTGTGGAATTGTAATCGTTTTTTCTACATTTTGGCTTCTAGACCCTTATCAGATATAGAATTTGCAATTTTTTTTTTTCCTATTTTGGCAGTTGTCTTTCTTTTCATTTTCTTGAGGGTGCCCTTGAAGTATAAATATGTTTTGTTTTTGGCCAGGCATGGTGGCTCACACCTGTAATGCCAGCACTTTGGGAGGCGAAGGCGGGAGGATTGCTTAAGTCCAGGAATTCAAGACCAACCTAGGCAATGTGGCAAAACCCTGTCTCTACAAAAAATACAAAAATTAGCCAGGTGTGGTGATGTGTGCCTGTAGTTCCGGCTATTCGGGAGGCCGAAGTGGAAGGATTGCTTGAGCCCAGGAGTTCAAGACCAGCCTGGGCAACACGGCAAGCCCCTGTCTCTAAAAAAAAAAAAAACAATAAAAAACCAAATTAGCTGGGAGTGGTGGCACACCCCTGTAGTCCAGGCTACTCAGGAGGCTTAGGTGGGAGGATTTCTTGGGGGTCGAGGCTTCAGTGAGCCAAGATTGTACCACTTTGCTCTGGCCTGGGTGACAGATCGAGACACTGTCTCAAAAAAAAAAAAAAAAAAAAGTTTTACTTTTGTTGAAGTTCAATTTATCTATTTTTTTTCTTTTGTTGCTTCTACTTTTAATGCCATGTCTAAGAAGGTTCTGCCTAATCCAAGATTATGAAGATTTATTCCTATGTTTTCTTCTAAGAGTTTTATAGTTTTAGCTCTTATATTTAGGTCTATTATCCATTTGGAGTTAATTTTTGTGTATGGAAAGGGGTCCAACTTCATTCTTTTGCATGTGGATATCATATATGGTTTTGATTTTTTAGTTTATAAAATATCTACTCTAAATAGAACAGTGCCATAGATCTTGCTATCTTGGAATGTTCATGTCCCTCCAAGATTCAGTTGAAACTTAACCCTCAATGTAATAGTATTCAGGAGTGGGGTCTTTAGGAGGTAATTAGGTCATGAGGGTTCTGCCTTTATGAATGGGATTAGTGCCCTTATAAAAGCACTTGAGGGAATCTGTTTGTACCTTCTTGCTCTTCTGCCTTTCCACCGTGTGAGGTCACAGTAACAGGCACCATCTGTGGAGCAGAGAGCAAACTTTCACCAGATACCACGTCTGCTGGTACTTTGATCTTGAACTTTCCAGCCTCCATAACTGTGAGAAATAAATGTCTGTTATTTATAAATTACCCAGTCTAACATATTTTGCTATGGCAGCAGGAGTAGACTAAGCCAGAAATTGGTGCTGGGAGTGGGGTGCTTCTGTAACAAATATGTAAAAACGTGGAAGCAGCTTTGCAGCTGAGTAATGGGTAGAGGCTGGAAGAGTTTGAGGTTCATGCTGAAAAAATCTTGTATTGCCGTGAACGGACTATAAAGGGTTTCTCTAGTGAGAGTTCAGAAGAAGAGGAGAACTGTAGAGAGAACTTCAATCATTTTAGAGGTTATTTAAGTGGTTGCAAGTGGAACATTGGTAGAAATATAAACAGTAAAGGCTATTCTGATGAGGTCTTAGATGGAAATAAGAAACACCTTCTGGTTAAGTGGAAGAAAGGTGATCCTTGTTATAAAGTGGCAAATAATTTGGCTGAATTGTGTTTGTGTTCTAATGTTTTGTGGAAGGCAGAACTTATGAGCAACGAAATAGCACATTTGGTAGAAGAAATCTCCAAGCAAAGTGTTGAGGATGCAGCATGGCTTTTCTTGATTGCTTATAGTAAAATACAAGATGAGAGCAATGAATTAAGGGTGAAATTTATAGTTAAAAGGGAAATAGAACTTAAAAGAGTTGGAAAATTCTCAGCATGGCCAGGTTGTAAAGAATGAGAAAGTGTTTGAGAGAGAATTCCAATGGTGTGGCCAAGTGGATGTTTGATAAGGAGATTTGTATGGATAGTAGAAAGCCAGGTGATATTCATCAAGACTATGAGAAAATGGCCCCCAAGGCATTTTGGAGATCCTCAAGGCTGCTATTACAGGCCCTAGTGCCAGGGTCTTGTGGTCAGAATGGTTTCAAGGGAGGGACCCAGGATGCCTTTGGGGCTTTGGGGTTTGCTGCCCCGGGCTGCATCAGATTTCTACTCCATGCATTCTAGCACAGAGTTCCTTGGTCACCTCAAGTGTGGCTAGTGGGCCCAGGGGCAGTGTAGTCTACAGTGGTTGCCCCTTTGGTTGCCCCATAGATCCCATGCTCCATGGCTGGAGCGCCATGCTTCATGCCTACAAGTGTAAAATTTGATACATTGGAGCATG